TCCTCCCCCTGCCTCTTGTAGAGCCCATTTCACCCCAGCCTGGTGTGGCCGCCCTTGTCTTCAGATGGGAACGGAGTGTGAATGGCCTTCCTGAGAGAGAGTGGGACCTGTTCCCTTGTTTTCTTGTAACCACCCTTGGACCTGACCCAGCAAACAATCTAGCCCAGGAGAAATCTAAACTACTGATGCAGCCTTAAGAACCTTCTCCTGCCCCACCAACTCTGAAGCACCTTCTCCTGGACCGTAGGAACTGCCCCAGCTTCTCCTTCTCCCCTCTGATGTGTCAAATTATGCCCCGCACCTTGGAGAACCTACCTGAGACCTCCCCAAGGTGCTGTATTTTCTACCTCATGGAGTGTTCTTCTCCCCAAAATCGCAGTGTGTTTTTGGGGGGGCGGGGTGGGGATATCTTTAACAAAGCAAGGGGATTCTTCCAAGTTGGGCAACAGTAAGGCTTGGACCTGCGTCTTCTACCTGGCAGGATCCCAGTCCTCGTGGTGCGTCCTCCCTGTCCTGAAAGTAGGAGGGACTGGCAGAGGTCGTTCTGGTCTTGGAAGCTGACTTCTTGTTTGAAATTCAGCCTCAAATTAAGCTCTTAGTGTGTTCCGCTCGATGGCCAACTCCATCTCTGTCTATGTTGTACTCCCGCATGTTGACTCAAGGAGGCGCTGCCACGAGGCAGTCATCTGCGGTTACCGTCTGTAAAGGCTGGGGTATATGGAGTAACTGTTTCCGTGTCTCAGTCTTGGGAACTGGCTGTTTACTGTTAGAGTGATGCTTTGTGAAGCCATTGCCTTGAGGCCCAGAATAACCAGGCACTAAAATTAGGCCAGGGATGAGGTGCTTGAGTCTCAGGCTCTGGGAATGTTTCAGGCTGGGGCGAGTATGAGTATTCAGTCATTTCACGTGTTCCAAGTGTATTTTTATAATCGTGTGTGTGAGATGTATGTACATATATGTATGTGTCTCTCAGGAAGTAGGAAACTGGAAATGAGGTTATTATAACCTCAAAAAAATAACTTGAGCTAGGCTAAAAATTAGGTAAGAGACATTTGCTTACCTGCAAATGAATCATAGTAGAAATGTGATCTTCATCGGGGAAACCTGCTGTTTTCTGCACAAGCGCTCAGAGAATCACAGATTGTTGGGGCGAGGACTAACTTGATCCCCATTAGGTTTTTAGCAGACAGAAGGTGGGACGAGCTCGACACCTCTCCCCACTTGCTGCCTGGGCTAGGCTTGTCCTGAGAACGTCCCACAGCAATCTGGTACCGTTCATGTGACCTTTGGGACGTCCTGTCTCCAGGGCGGAGTCAGCTCGGGGAGGTCGGGGTCTACTTAGCAGCTGTTCCTGCTCCCAGATTAATGAGCTTCATAGATGCTTTGTCGCCCCCACTTGTCATGGAGCAAAGAAAAGCCAGGAAATGTTTAAGTGTAGTGACCGTGCTGAGCCAGTGTGAGCCCCTTAGATCCCCTGCGGGTCTCTGCCAGCCTCCCGGATTGATATTTCACCTTTGACTTCAATGCCTTCTAGGACAGGGCGAGCACCCTAACCCAGGCATGGTCCATTGGCTTCCTCTGCAAAGGAATGATTACTCCTAATCATTGCCCAGCACTTGGACAGAGCCAAGGGGACACCCTCTTGCCTATGGCTGTGATGTCCAACAGGCCTGGCTCCGGCAACGAGGGCAGACAAGCTTCAATCACAGACAGATCTTTGCTCTCCTGAGATTGAGGCCTGGGGCTTATAGTTCAGAACACAAGTGAAGGGATTTTTGTTCTTTCTTTGTACTTTTTTTTAAATGTAAACTTGATTATTTTTATTGCTAATTTAAAAATAAATGACTTTATTTGATTGTGAAACAGTTCTGGCTCGATGTCCCTGTAAAACACTTGGTGGCTGCCACCATGTGGTGACTTTTGTTTAGGTTTCGGAAAGGGGTTAAAATTTTTTTTAACCATGTGCTACATCAGATGGATCAGAAGTTCTAATTTTTGAAAATGGTTTAACTCTCACAGAGTGCAGTGTAACTGTATTTGAGTCCTAGATTTCAAGGGAATCCCCACCACCCCCCCGCCCCGCAAAAGACTTCAGCTGACTCACTGAGAGTATCTGGCTCTGGGGGGAAGTGGCGTAAATCTGATATGCTGGCAGCTGGAAGACAGAACAACATACGAAACATCCTCTGAGCTTGCTGTTGATCTGATGTTTGCATCTCTCGCCGAGAAGTAACATTTCTCTTAGTACCCTGGGTTCTAGAAGCCAGATCCATCTCCCTTTACCTTCACATCTACTTCCATGCCCAGACCCACCCTCGTCTCCCTTCCTCTGGAACCCTCTCTGCAGTGACACTGTTTCTCACGTGCTTTCCTTTTCTTGTCTGGATGAGCAGAAGAAGATCATGATCGTGATCTGCTGTGTCATCCTTGCGATCATCTTAGCTTCTACTATTGGGGGCATATTTGCCTGAAAAAACACAAAACAAAACAGGTGAGCCATCTGTGGGGAGGGTCAGGTCTGTTTTCGCTCAAGACGCTTGTATCCTGAGGGCTTTGGTTGTCACCAGGTGCCTTAATCTGTGTGGGACTGGGGGCTGGAATGAAGGTTGGAGAAAACCAAGAAAAATGTGTGAAGAGGGAGTTGGTAGGGAATAGGTAGATGGGGAGACAGAAGGTGGCAGTCTGTCCCGTACGCAGGTCTGGTAGCAGAGTGTTTTGTTCCGAATGCTTTGCATAAGGGTGTTGATTTCCTGTAGTGAAATCTGGGCATTGGCATGTGGGAACAGCAGAGGAGAAAGAATTCATTATTGCATTAGAAGCACCCTGAACTCTTTGGAAGAGGGCCACACAGGGAGCCCAAAGTAAATATCAATAAAATTTTCCCCTTATGAGGTTAGGACAGGTTTTTGCAGCCTTGTGAGTAGTCCCTTACCCCTGTAGACAGGCTTGGTGATCCTAGCCCCACACGTTTTGCTGTATAATCTATGATTTTTTTCCCTCCGTTTTTGTTATCCCCTTCAGTCCTCACAGATGGATCCTCACCTGGCATTTTCAATTCTTCCACCTCTGTGGTGCCATCCCTTCTCCGCTGCAGATTCCTCCAAAGCTCTTCTTTCCATTATGAAACCTCTTAGGACATAGGACCTCAACCACCTACCCGTTAGAAGTTACGCAAAAGGAGATTTACAGAAATACGGACTTGGGTGGCAGGCAGGGGTGAAGGAACAGGGAGTACAGCACTGTGTCGCAGGTTAGGAGGATGGTTAAAGGAGGAGACTGCAGGGTAGAGCAGAAAGCATAGGTACCTGTTTAGGAAATAAACTTGGAGCCAGAGCCCACGCTGACGTTATGGCTGAAGCACACCCGCTCATCAGGATCTGATTTTAACTGCCGGGAGTCAGTCAGGACCAGGGCACTTGTTACTTCTGCTCTTCCAGTTCTAGGTCTCACCTTTGACCAACGCTCTGTCTCCTTCCTTCTTCAGGGTCCAACATTCTCCGGGGTGATTGTCTAGCGATAGGCCCCAGGCACGTCTCCCTCGCTGCTGTGTCCCCAGTGCTTAGCACAATGCCTGCCGCTTATAGCTGCTCAAGAATCTGTTGACTTTATCTGAAATTAAGCTCTGATCTCTGCTATGGCCGAGTCCTTGGACTTGCCTCTTAAACGCTTTAAGGCATCAGTGGGAAATGGGTCTGTGTCACAGGCTGTGTAGAAATGCCTGGGAATGGTCGATCCGCCCACTCAGAAGCACAGCAGGCCCCACTTTCACAACATACACTTTAAAGTCCTTTTTTTTACGGGAGGTGGTGGTAAGAGTTCTGTCAATGGCCTCTTACTTTGCAGAGATGGCTGGCCCCAGGATTGTGGTTCAGTAATTAAACGGGGACCCCCAAAGAAACACGTTATGCTGTGATTGAACACCCAACAGTCACAAATACCATGCTCTGTGAACCCTAACAAAGAAGAGGTGACAAAGTTAGGTCAGAAAAACGAGGCTGTCACTCACACCCCTTCTCACTGATTCACGTTGCCAGCTGAAACTGGCCTTGTCGGCCAGCAACTTGTGTACAAGAAACTGTCCAAACACTGCCGCGAATTCAAGGCTCAGGTGTGCTCTAGTGCAACCTAGTGATTACAAGAGGCTCACTAAAAGTATACTAAAAATCACGGTATACAATTCTCAAGGACCACACAACGGCTTAAATTTGTACTTTTGAAAGTAAATTATTTTCTTTGCCGGAGGTCTTACTTTTTAAGAAAGTGGGATTTAAAAAATTGACATTTTAGTCAGTGTGCTGTTTTCTGCCCACTTTCAAAGCAAATGGTTTAATATTTTTCCTATCAATCTGTATTTCCTTTGGTTTGAATACAGGATAGAAACCATTGCTGGCTAGCTCTGAAGAAATAGATGAATTTTGTTAAAGGCAAACAGGGACCTGGAACCATGGGGTTTGAATCACCCAGGGCCCTTGTTCATTCAACAGTAAGATTTGAGTGCTGTGTGGCACCCTGCACTGTGCTAGGACCTGTAGGGACACAGATATAGAGGCAAATACCCCCCATCTCCAGAGGGTTTCAGGCCTAGGAAAGACCACACAATTCAGGTTTTGTTTCTATCAGTTCCTTCTGGTAAAAGGCAAGGGTATGTCTGTTGCCGTATTGTCCAACATCCCCCCTTCTAAGATTGAGAGAAGATGGGTAGCTGGGCATAAATAAATACGTTGAATCAATTAACCTATGTACTGTTGTTTTCTTTGCTTTTCCAAAAACATTAAAAGTCTGTAACTAGTAAAATGTCATAGAAACTAGCTCCTTAAGTGTGTATATATAAAAGGCAGTACAGACATTAAGTCGGACTTGAATCAGAGGTGGGAGATGCAAACGTTTGCTTCAGCCTTGAAGACATTTATCTTATAGCCGGGGAGAATCAGAGCTCCTAACAGTCAGTCAGGCCTGGTTCTTAATCATTTAAGGGAATTAGTGACCAGTGAGAAGTTACGTCATCGTGAGGTGATGCTCAAACTTTATTTAATATAAATACAGTGCACTTAAAAAACCTGACAGATGACGTACAGCTTTTCAGAAAGCATCTACTCATATGCTGCTCCTTGGTTATGACATCAGAGCTACCCAAAGACTTGAAGGACTGGCTGAGGGGAATAAACAGCCTGTGTCCGTTTCCTGCTTACAGTCCTCACTACACACGCTCAGGCATGTAGAACTTGCCCCAGTATCGCCCCTTATGGGTCAGGTCGTAGGGGCTCAGCACCTTCCGTAACCCCAGCATGTTGGCAGTGACAATGCGCTCAAAGGTCCAGGGGTTTTGGTTGTTCCGTTCTCGTTCTTCTTGATCTTTCCGCATCTTCTCTAGAGTCTCACGGCTCACGGCCTTCGCGGGGAAGGGCAACTTGTGGGCAACCTGGTTGAGGAAACCCCGTACCTCTTGGAATTCGCAACGCCCGCCCATCTCTACTATGAGGCGGCCAGCCTTCACAGGGGTCACGTAGTGGTCGATGGCACCTTTGCCGCCCCCCATGCGCTGTCCCATACTCTTGCGGGTGATGGGCTTGAAAGGGGCTGGTACTCGCCATAAGGCAAACATGTTCTTGGGGTCCATAGACCGGTTGATTGTCAGGCGCATCATTTCAAAATGCCCCCAATGGAGGTAACCGCCACCCAGTGCCTAAAAGTAAATGGAAGAATTAGAAACATATGGGGATTTAGATAGCCTTCATGGGATCTATCATGTCTCTTCTTTTATGGTAACTGCGGCTTCAAATATAAGTTCTAGTAAGTACCATGGAGGAAAAGCCTAGGGTACAGTAATAAACGGGAACAAGGGTGGACCCGCTTCAATGGATAGCCAGGGAAGACCTCTTGGAGGAGGTGACCTTTATAGCTGCGGCCAGAATGGAACGAACCAGCCAAGGGGAAACAGATGAGTGTTAGGAATGGCACATGCGAAGGCTTTGGCGCAGCAAGTGGCTTGGTGAGTCTGGGCAGAAGCCAGTGTGGCCGGAGTAGAGAGAGGAATGGGGAACAGACTGAGTGCTGAGAGGCTGGCAGGGGCTGATGGTGCAGGCTGTGGGAATCGGACGTTAAAACATCACTCTGGCTGCCTGATGGGAACTAAATCCTTTTCCATAGCCTTTTGTGTGGGTACTGACGTCAAGTCTTCACGGAAGCTACTTGATGAGTAAGGAAACATCTGTCCCATGTACTAAAACATGGATAGTTTTATTTTGACCAGAGGCTTGAGAAAATCTCATGGTCTAACTATGGGGTAAGTTAGGTACCCTCTTCCTTCTACTTTTACATTATTTTCACTCTACGTAAGACAAAAAACATTTGTGACTTAATGCTCACTGGGTCCTGCTCACCAGTTTAAAGAGCAGCTAGTGGCAGTTCTAGTAAAACCTGTGGAGGAAGAGATGAGAATGAACTCAAGGAGTCTATTTTAATCCCTGGCTTCCGTCCTATAGCCGCTTGATGCTGGACTCACCAAGATCGCAAAACTGCCTTCAGTGAACTCAGTGGCTTCAGTGGAAGGTCCCCTTATGTCACTCAGGTTTTTAGGCTCTCTTCTCACTTTTGGCACAAGTGGTACCCTTTCAACAAACCTAAGCTTGGGCTTTTCAGGAATGGAAACATCTAAAAGGAGCACAGGCAACCAAGAGTAAGTCAAACCACACATCTCAAAGGATTCATTTTCTTCCTAGAAAGATTTACAACAATCAGGTCAAAGTCTTAAAGTTACCACTCAACAACAATTCCAAAAGTGTGTTAGGTTTATCCTGTGGATGCTTTTCACGGACACTGGAATCTTCTGGTTACGACAGTGGTTGATGCAAATGTTTCTGAACCTTTTAAGAGAGCAGAGTTTTAACCTTCAAACCAAAATGCTTTTTTAAAATGCCTACTCTGTACCTAACACTGAAAAAGGGACTGTTAGAGAAGGTACAAAGATGTGAGAGTGTCACAAAATAACACTAGGTAACATTTGTGTGTGTGTGTGAATGTTTACTAAGTGCTGGAATTGAGCTGAATGCTTTACATGCATTATCTCATGTAATCTTTAAAACAACTTGATAGCCTTGGTGTCTTTCAGGGCTTCCTTTTTAATATTTTTAAACCTTTAAAAGTTTAACACACATGTATCAAAGGGCCCCATAAAAAAATGTGAATTACCACAAAGTGAACACACAGACATACCCACATAACATCTACATCAAGAAACAGAACATTAGGCAGCTGGTATTTTTAATCCATTTTATAGAAGAGGAACTTCAGGCCTAGAGACATTTTATAATTTGGTTCGGGTCATCCAGTCAAAACAGAAAAGCTAGACACTATGTCGCTTAAGAAAAAATACCACACTGCCTCTCTGATAAGAGGCAGTGGAAAGGATACTATATCGTACATCAAAATACCTAAGTTCTCCTGCTCTGCCACATTCTTGTTGGGAAACTTACAACCTAGTACTCCTTTGGTCAGTGCTCTTTCCTTTATATATACAGGGGCTTTGCATGCTGAGGCCCGTACTACAATGTGGTTGCTGGGTGAGGGGCCAGACATGCTACGTCTTTATCATGTCTGACGTTTTGACAATATGGAAAAAAAAAATTAACTTGTAAGTCATCTAAAGTATTTCTATAGTAAAACAAGCATGGCTCTGTGATGGAGTCCAATATAAAACAGGAGACTTTAAGGGCTACAGAAACTGCCCCCTGCCATTTCTATATGTAGCTACACAGAAACTTAGTAATGCTTTCTCTTGCCTCCAAGGCCATATGTACTCCAGTGCATGTAGTAATTTCACAATTATGTGTAGAAGATAAGGCCCTCAGAGGTCAAGGCCGCTTTCATTTTTTTTGAGATTTCCAATATATTAAAAAAAAAAAAAGGTAAGTTAGATACACCGAATTGTGGCTTACCTTAATTGTTCATATTAACAAATTAATGCTTTTCACATAATATTGTTACTGACTGCACATGTGTAACCTCATTTGGAGAAAACATCAAAAGTCTCAATTGAGGCCAGTTAGGTTTAGCTGAGTGGGCAGCTGTGGGCCACGCACCAGTGGTAGGCCATATGGGAGATATCCCATGACAGGTTGGCTCCCTAAAAGCAGGAGCCTTTTTGAGTCTCTTGTTCTTTGATTTCTCTCTAGCGTTTAGAACACTGCCTGGCATACGGTATGTTTTCAATACATAATTACTGAATGGGTGAATGGGGATAGGGGGCACAAGAACACGCCTACTCTTTACCTATCCTCTGCTGGGTTCCATCACAGAAAAGGCTTACAAACAGGAAAACGGATAAGCTCTCACCTTCAAAAGTGGGCACCGGGAGCAGCGTCTTTAGGCCAGCGCTGGCGGGCGGCGCTGCCCAAGAATCTACAAAGACAGATCAAGTTAAACGACGAAGGCCTGGGCTTGGTACACTCTGGGCCAAATATGCTCCTGACAGAGGTGTCCCGTGGGTTTGGGACGTGGGTTCCACTAAAGGGGCTCACAGGCACAGCCCCCCGCCCCCAAAGGACAAGCCGGGGACTCTGGGCGCCGATCCCCAGGTTGCACGAACGCTGTTGACCCTTTTGCACGAATCTTATGGCGGGAGGGGCGGCAGCAAAGGGCAGCCCCTTCCCCGTGCTTCCGCAACCGTGCGCAGTCCTGGGACTGTGCGAGATACCCGATGCGGGGAAGGGGTGTGGAGAGAGGCAAGGCCTGGAGGGATCAGGGGACTTCTGACCTAACAAAGGCGCCCGCAGGACGGGCGCGCGGGCGCGAGCCAGCAGCCGCCACATGGTCACGCGCGTGCGGTCGCGTCGGGCTCCCCACGGCGACCGCAGCGAACACTTCGACGCGGGCACGGATCGCGGCACTCTCGAGACACGCCGGAACCGGCTCCGGCTCCCACCTGGTCGGGCCGGAAGTTGCGTTCGCGCCGGTCCCCCCTGCAGTGAGGGCGGGTGGAAGCGGAAGAAACTGGAGCCTCGGAACCTGGGTTCCGCCCTGGTGTGTGCGGGTCCCGCCCCGCGTTCTTTCTGGGGTCCCTCCGGAGATGAGGGCGGCAGGGCGGGGGCTTCTCTCCCCGAAGTACCATGCTGAGAAAGCCTGGGTTCATATGGCAAGTTGGTTCCTTACAATTCACTACGTTACGCCGCGTCTCTAGCCCCCTTCTCTCCCGCAAGAGGTTAGAAAAAAGCGAAGGACTCATCACTGTCTTAACATTTACTGGGCTCTTGCACTGTGTCGGGCGGTGAGTACCTCATCCTTGCGTCTAGTCCTCCCAACGAATCCATGCGATAAGTAAGTCATTACACCCACTTTGCAGGTTCCATCTCGAAGGTCAAAGGATTTAACTCTCCTAGGGTCACACAGCAGGAAAACAGTACAATCAGTATTTGAGCACAGTCGGTGTGACTCCACAGACCCCAGTGAACGGACAGTATGACTCGATATCAAGTTAAAATGAAAAAAGGTATAATTATTCTGGGAGGATGTTGGGCAAATCATTTTTATGGGCATGATGCTTTTTAATATTTAGAAAGAGAGAGTCTTTTTCCAAGCTTCTAGGATACCGATGGGATTACCAATTGAGGCTGATGGCTATTGTATTTAAATCATGCTAAATCTGTGCGTGGTCTTTCTCCAAGGATTAATATCGTAAATGGCAACAAATAAAACCTGTAATCTCGCAAAGCTACTGGAAGAACTCTCCCTGTCCACAGTTTTATGTACTTCTTGATTATTTGCACACTGAATCTGTATCAAAAGTTAGTGAATTTTATTAGAGCCAATCATTTCTGTCCCAAGAGCGGTTTTAAAAGGTTAAACTGCCCCCGCCCCCTCAGCCCGTGTCCGATTCTGGGCAGCTCTTCTGTGCTCCCCTCTCCCTTCCACCGAAAGTGGGAGATTCAGATGTACTCAGGTATTTAAAAATCTCAAGCTGAATATTGTATAAGATTGTTTGGATGGAGAATAAAGCTGCAGTACAATCACTCTTTGATTGGTCTCTAAGTCTTCTGGTGCCCTAAAATTTCTACCTCATTGCTTATTTTAAAAGAACTAAAAATTAACTCACAATTCTACATTTAAGGAGTACCGTAATGTCTATTTTTCTTTGTAAGAGTTGTGTTAAGTACAATGGAGGATACAAATGTGAAAAATCGGTGATCCTTTATGAACTTATATTTATGTGGGGATGATATGATGAGAATACAAATAGCTAACGTTGAGATATGAGAAGTTTAAATAAAGGGTTGTGAAAAATCGAAGGATGGACCTGAGGTCTTCCCTGATCACAGAAAATCATTTTTCCCTTCGATTTTTCACAGCTCTTTATTTACTCTTCTCTTCTGATAGTTCTATGGCTGTTATTTGTAGGAGACTGAGGTTCAGGGATTAAACGATTTGCTACACAGCTCGTATGATGCAAAGTAGGATTAAGAACCTTGATGAACTTACTTTTATTGGAATGCATTTGCTAACATCTCCCAAAAGTTGGTCTTTGGACTTTCCTGAGACCTCTGTTAAAAATGTAAATATCTGGTCCCCACTTACTAAGAATCTCTAAAGGTGGGGTTCAGGAAGTCCTATGGTGAACTAGCCCCACGGGTGATTCTAATGCCCAGTCAAGTTTGGGAATCAGTGCTCTATGAGCACTTTGAAAATTTAAAAAGTAGAGTATAGGTACAAGGCATTGTTTCTGGACTATACAGGCCAGTACTCACTGGGATGTATATTTTTCCCACCTGTATAAAAATTATCTAACACCTCAGTTTTTAATCTTCTTATTTAAACATCCAGAGATAACAGAAACTTGTAGCCCAGTCCCAGGTCCGGTTGTTGACTTAAATGGCACACGCACACACACATACACATACACACCTTACTGCCATGAGAAAAATGAATGTGTCTACACATATTCCAGAGCTTTCCAGCTAAATTAGAGTCAGTCCCAACTTGGGGAGTTAATATAGTTTTACAGGAGAGCTATTTCCAGCATTTCTCAGGGAGTAAGTCAACAGGCACGAAGAATGGATCTAGTCCTAATTGTTTGGCCAAGAAGAGGGAACAATGCCAACTACTGTTCATGCTTTTGTCTTGGCGTTTACGGACTAGATCCATGGTATTCCTATGCATTTTTTCACCATAATAAATGATTCCCTATTGTGGCTTCGTCAAGTTATTTACAAGTCTGTTATTATAGACCATGCTGTAATAAACATCCTTATACATACCATTTTGGTACTGTTTTGGTATTTCTTTTGAGCAAATTCCAAAGAAAAATCACTGGATCAAAGGGATGTTCATTTAAAATCATTTTACCTCATCAAATTGCGTGAAACTGGCCTTCACCAACAATGTATCAGCGTGACTGTTTATATACACCCTTTCTGAGGAAGGATATGAAAGTTCTTTTAGAGCTTTGCCAATATGAAAGGTGAAAAACCACATCCAGTGTTATGTTTATAACAGGGTTTTAAAGCAGAATTGCTTCTGACTTAGTTTTGCCTGAGGGCCCAAGGTATGTGGTAATCCCTGTATTCCAAAGTGAGGAGCTGGGCCTCCCAGGCTGGACTTATAAAGGAGCTGGTTGGAAGTGGCTTTGCTCTTCTTAGCTACCCACTCTCCTTCAGCCTGTAGAAAGCACTGGAAAAAATCAAGAAAGGAAGTGGAAACTGGCAATGACAATAAAGATTTCTTCGGACAGAGCTGACATACTGTGAGTTTCACTTCCCCTCTCCAATGGTTAGGGATGAGGTGATCCATCAAGCCTAGTGAGAGACACTTCAAGGTCACGCAGAGAGCTTGGTATGAGGCCTCTGCAGTTTGAAGGGGGTTGGTGTTGACACAGGCTTGGGAAAGTCTATGTTTGGAGGCTGATCAAAGCAGCCTGTGACATCAGAGTAGAGAGAAGTAGCCACATTACTATTGATGGCAGGTCAAAGGTATGAATATCCTGTTGACCAGATGCGGACCCCAGTGCAGTGTGTGGGTTTATGGTTTTCTTATATCCTGTCCAACGGGACCCCATGGAGAGACAAGGAGAAAGAAGGTGGAAGAGGTGTAATGATGGATGTCCAGGGCCTGTGAGAAGAATTATATGCAAACAGCCAACCGTTTAGCAGAGATGAATTTGCCTGCATCAAGGGAACTGAGATGTCCTCAGCAGTTAGGGTTAGGGTGTGTGTGTGTGTGTGTGTGTGTGTGTGTGTGTGTGTGTGTGTCCTCTGAAGACTCCATAAAGCACCATAAGAGGAAGAGTATACTTTAAACTATACCCGGACCCGAGTCAGTACTGTTGGGTGCTGTAACAAAGTACCCCAGACTGGGTGGCTTAAACAATAGAATTTTATTGCCTCAGTTCTGGAGTCTTGAAGTGTGAAATCAAGGTGTCAGCAGGGTTGGTTTCTTCTGAGGGATGTGGGGAAGGATCTCTGCTTGGCTGGTAGATGGCCGTCTTCTCCCTGTGCCTCTTCATATCATTTTCCCTCTATGTTTGTCTGTCATGTGTCCAAATTCCCCCTTTTTATAAGAACGCTAGTCTTATTGGATTAGGGCCCACCTTAATTATCTCACTGTAACTTGATTTCCTCAGTAAAGATCCTTTCTCCAAATAAGGCCGCATTTTGAGGTGCTGGGGGTTAGGACTCCAACTTATGTTTTTTTCAGGGGAGAGGAGGATACAAGTCAACTCATAACAGGTGCCATGATGGTAAGCCATCCCAAAGGGGTCAGAGGTGAGGGGTCAGGGGCATAAAAGATCTTAAGTGATTGGTAAATGTGCAGAAGTGAGGAAATAGAGACCTCTTCCCTTGCCTCCATTTTTGTTTTCACCACTTTCTATCTGGAGTTGGGCTGAGCTGGGAGCGGGGAGCAGCTTTACCTCTAAATGCAATTCAGAGTTTTGATTTTTACACAGTTTTGGACATTTTAGTTACTGAAATCAATATGTTTTCTGTGGCTAGAAGTGACAACACAACTTTTTTTTTTTAATATCAGAGAGTAATGAGAAAATGCAAAAAAAACCCAGCCTTACAGAGTTGGTTTGGATAAATAGTAGAAGGGTAAACTAAAGTTGATTTCTGATAGCCTTCTCTGAGTTCTACTTAGTGATCTAACTTACATCTGGTTATACTTAGTTTGCTTTTTTGTTTTTATTTTTTACCTTTTTGGCCAAACAACATGTGGGATCTTAACTCCCAGACCAGGGATCGAACCCGCAGTCCCTGCATTGGAAGCACGGAGTCTTAACCACTGGACCACCAGGGAAGTTCCTTAGTTTGCAATAACTAACAATAAAAATTTTAAAAAATAACTAGCAACGCTGAACTTTTTCTCATCTCTTTGGTTTCATATGTTTTTGTCTGTTTGTTTTACTGTATGTGTGATTTGCTTGCTTGTGTACTTTTCAATCATACTGTTCATTTTTTTTTCGATTCAGAACTGCTTGTTATGTATAAGTACATTAACTCCTCTTCAGTTGTATATGTTTTGATTTATTTTTTCATTTTTCAGTATGTCCTTTAATTTTTTTTTTGAGGCATGACCATTATGATTTTTTTTTTTGGCCGTGCCGCGCAGCTTGCGGGATCTTAGTTCCCTGACCAGGGATTGAACTTGGGCCCTTGGCAGTGAAAGCGAGGAGTCTGACCACTGGACCGCCAGGGAATTCCCCATTATGTTTTTTTTTAAGCAGTAAAATCTGACAGTAATTTTCTTAAGAGTTTTTGACTCTGATCATATGCTTATAAGGGCCAGAGGTAGGGATCTAAC